CTCTCAGTGCTGAGACAGGTGATCCAAGCAGGGTGGCCCGAGAAAAACAAAAAATGTCCACCTGCAGTCTCAGAGTATTGGAATCATAGGGATGAGATATCAGAGACAGATGGCATCCTACTGAAAGGAGAGAAAATCATTGTGCCGCACTCACTCAGGGCTGAAATGCTTTCACGCATTCACACAGGACACTTAGGGATGGAAAAGTGCAAACAACGTGCAAGAGATGTGCTGTTCTGGCCAAGGATGGCTAAGCAGATAGAGACACTAGTAGGGACCTGCAGCACCTGCCTTGAGCGACGCAGCTCACTCCCAAAAGAGCCTATGATGTCACACCCAATCCCAGAACAACCTTGGCAGGTAATAGCCACTGATCTGTTCACATGGAACAGTACTGACTATGTAGTTGTCGATGACTATTATGGTAGGTTCTTTGAGGTAGAAAAAATCACCAGCCTCACCTCCTCAGTAGTCATCCAAAAGCTGAAGGCCATGTTTGCTCGATTTGGAATACCACAGACACTAGTCAGCGATAATGGACCTTGCTACAGTTCACAAGAGTTTAAAACTTTTGCTCATGCATGGGACTTCAAGCATGTCACAAGCAGTCCTCTGTATCCACAGAGCAACGGGCTAGCAGAAAAAACAGTTCAGACTGCCAAAGCTCTCATGGACAAAGCACACGCTCAGAGAACTGACCTGTACCTCAGCTTGTTGGAGTATAGAAACACACCAGTGGATGGTTTGAAATCGCCAGCGCAGCTACTCATGAGCAAGCGTCTGCGCTCCATCCTTCCCACCACTGAAAAGCATCTACAACCAGAGCTTGCCTGTCACAGCACCGTTCACAGCAGGAGAAAACAGTGTCAAACACGACAAAAACAATATTATGACAGGAATGCCAGATCACTGCCTGCACTACCAGTGGGAGCCACGATTCGCTTCCAGCTTCCAACAGGGACATAGAAACCTGCAACAGTAGTCGAGCCAGCAGGTACCCAGAGATCCTACAACATCTGCACGGACGGAGGTCACATGTTTCGGCGCAACAGGCGTCACCTTCTACAAACGTGTGAGAGTGACACAGATCAGGAGACTCCATCAGACAAGCAGTTGGAGCCTGAGAACACTGAGACTTTGCAGCAGGACACTGAGAAACAAACAGGCCCCAGAGAGCAATCACACATTGTTTACAATAAGATCACAAGATCAGGCCGCATAGTGAAGCCAAGAGATGTGTTAGACCTGTGAAAAAAAAGAAAAGAAAAGAGAAATGCAATACTGACAGTGCACTTTGAGTGAATCTGTTTATAATGCAACACTGACAATGCACTGTGATTTTTGTTTGTTTAGAAATGTAATTAACAGTTTTGTTTCAGAAGCAGTACTACATGCTCTATTAGAATTACTTCTGGGCAACTGTTCAAAAAAAGATAAGTTAAACTGCAGAAGTGTTTACTAAATGTTGATGTACCAGCCTTATAATATTCCCTCAGTGATAGAGTAATCACAATTAGTAGATATAGTGCCTTAAGACGCACATTTATTTTAAATGCTTTAAATGCATATGGTTATAATTTGTTATGGCAGCTATACTGTTCTTTTCTAAAGAAGGGGGATGTAACATCTTGGTGAATACAAGATCTTTGATTACAGAGATCACGTTGAGGACGTAATGCATGTGTGCATGTTACGCGCCAGTTAAATAAAGATGAACACTCGGAATGTCACAAGTAGTCCGCTTCATCTGTTTATGGAGACACTTATATGTCCATAGAACAGAATATTACACATGTTATACTTAATAGCCAACCTTTACGGCACTTGATCTTAAAGGCTAATATTGTAGCCTTCCATCAATTGTTTGGCTGTTTAAAGTGGACCTATCATGCTATATTTAAATGATATACTGTAGGGTCATACCTATATAAGGTATATTTATACGTTTCTGTTTTAAAAATACCAAACAGATCATGCATTTTAGCCATGCCTCATTTCGCTCTATTTGCTGTTGGGGCTGATTCTGTGAGCTGCAGCTGACCACGCCCCCCTGCAGGAGAGGGGAGCCGTGCTCTGATCAAGTCAGAAGAGGGGGAGAAAAAAAGATCTCCGTCCTCCGTGTTTTATTATATTATTATAGGCCTATAGAGTCGTTATTCATTTGTTTTAAAGCTCAATAAATAACAAAGAAGACCTTTGACCGGCACTTTTCTAATTTTGTCCAGAAGATTTAAACTTTAACGGACATCTTGACCGGCGAAAGAAAACCTAACTGAAACTCTGCCGCACGGTCCCCTCGTTCCTTGGAAGAGGCGGAGAGGTGGGTGTTTGTCATCTGCTGGTGGACTAACAACCTTTAAATGTATGAAATGTGACTGTAATTTTAAGAACATGCTTTTTAATGTTTTGGCTTGTATGTAACATTTTGCAAGTTAAACAATGTTCAGGATAAATCACAGGTTATTGGTGTTTGTTGTTTTCGATTTTGTCAAGTCCTATCATCAAACTTATCCGATTAATTCAAGTGAAATGCATGTGAGACAAGTCTAAATAAACTAGTAGAAATGTTTTTCCCTTGGGCTTTATGGTTTCTATGAAAACACTTAAGGGCCACTTAAACATTGTCTTGGCTGTGCCTTGCCTCGATAAAAAGTTCAGCAAATATTATATTTTCAGACTCGCCTAGAGGATAATTTGGTATCTTTTCAGCTAAGAAAAAACACGTACATTTAATGTGAGAACGTATGTTGGAATTATAGATGAAAAATAGATTTTAGTAATGGACTCAGGAAGGGTTCAGTCCCACTGTTTACATTTTTGTAACTAAACGACAAGTCACTCTTTAAAGGGGACCTATCATGCAAAATGCACTTTTGTACGTCTTTTATACATGAATATGTGTCCCTGGTGTTCCAGGGAACTCACCAAGTGTCAGAAAACACAACCCTCTCTATTTTCCTCCATACCCAAATCTCTAAAAAAGGGGCTGCAACGGATCTGATACAGACTGATCCAGATTTGAACACTTCTATGTCGTCACAGAAGTGGCGCTACGGCTATTGGGCCAACTCTCCACCTATCAGGGGAATGTGCTTTTTTTCTCCCTCCCCGAGGCAAGCGTTTGCTCCCGCTGCTTTAATTCAATGCAGTCCCTCCCCGTCGAGGCAAGCACCGTAATTCTCTCCGGTTAGTCCACCAGCAGATGACAAACACCCACCTCTCCGCCTCTTCCAAGGAACGAAGGGACCGTGCGGCAGAGTTTCAGTTTCAGTTACTTTCGCCGGTCAAGATGTCCGTTAAAGTTAAAATCTTCCGGACAAAATTAGAAAAGTGCCGGTCAAAGGTCTTCTTTGTTATTTATTGAGCTTTAAAACAAATTAATAACGACTCTATATAATAAAACACGGAGGACGGAGATCTCTTTTTCTCCCCCTCTTCTGACAGCCCAGCAGCTGATCAGAGCACGGCTCACCTCTCCTGCAGGGGGGCGTGGTCAGCAGAATCAGACCTGTAGACAGCAAACAGCACATAGAGCGAAATGAGGCATGGCTAAAATGCATGATCTGTTTGGTATTTTGAAAACAGAAACGTATAAATATACCTTATATAGGTATGGCCCTACAATATATCATTTAAATATAGCATGATAGGTCCACTTTAAGTAATGATATTGGGGAAGCATTATTGGATTCTTTTCTTTGATATAAATAAATCAAATTAAATGTGATGTCACTACCTTAAATGACATTCCTTTATAGTTGTATTTACATATTAATTAAAGTATAGTATGTTACACGTCATATAAGACATAGTACTTTTAGCCAACTTTGCTGCCACCTGGTGGCAAATTCAGCTACTTGCAGTCTAAAAAAACAGTCAATCATTTTACATTTATGCAACTTGTACTGCCATTTCTGCAAATTGAGACTTTTTATTTACAAGCATTAGCTGGTTCGCTGGGGGATATTAACTCAAAGATTAAGTCATGACATAAAATGTATCACGTATCACTCATCATGTTAGAATGTTTTTTACACACTAATGGACCAGTGGACTTGCAGACAGAAGAAACATGGGAGAAAACAATGAACAGAGGCTGGTGCAGTTTTCTGCGCCATCAAGAGAAACTGTGTTAGAAGAAAATAGGACATGCAGGTGAAGCTATTTGTGTCTCTTCAACTCTTTCATAGTGGAGCTAAACTACACCCTCAAATGTGTTCTGTGCATAAAAACAAGAGATGTATAGGTACAAGGTCAAGTTTAGACACAATTGTGCAGACCAAACAATATATTTGCAGAGGCCTCCTGTGGAAAATTAAGCAAGATTAGGACTAGGATTTAAAACATAGATAGAACATAAAGGGTGAGAAATAGGTAGGAAAATAACGATACGACAAAGAAAAATTACATGACAGAGTTGTTCTTAAATGTTTTCTACATTTATTTCGCGGGTATAGTTTGGGACTTTGCAGATTTATATTTTGCATAGAAAATATGTGCTCAGTTTTGAAGATATGATACATTTTTGTAATAAGATTACAGAAAGGGATCATTCTGTGGGAGTACTTTACTTTGAAATGCCAACAAGAGGTGTATGTGTATAGAAATGATAAAGTATAGAACTGTATGTTAAATATATATATAAAAAAGAAAGCCACTTACTTCCAGATAATCCAATAATATAGTTAGGCCTACTCTGAAATTAGCCATTCTGCATAATGAGTACTTTTACTCTTTGAACAAATTCAGAAAACAGTATTTTTACTTGTAACTTAGTTTTTTTACACTGCAGTATTGCTGTGCTTGTAAGAGATCTGAATTATTGTTCAACCACTAAGGGTACACAGGTAAAATATGCACAGGTGCAGAGTTAAGCCTCCCTCCATCATCTCCCACATCAGCACCACTCTGCATCTTGCTGAGGTTTATAACCGTCCAGGGAGGGGGGAGAGGACGCCATCTTGTTTGTTTTAGTGAGAGGAGGGGTGGAAAAACAGACCCGGAGCCGAACCACCGGCATAACGAGGAAAGCCCCAAACGGCTTAAGGTGAGTCATATCGGTTAGGGTGTGATATGCCTTGTTTTTTGTCAGTGTCAACAGAGATACCTCCGCGGTGCTCAGGTTAATGACAGAGGCTAATCGAGTCCGGTGTGAACGCAGCATTAACGGTAGCTGGTCCGCATCATCACCTGTTGTTTTCACAGAGCGTCAGCGGTAATGCAGTTAAATCTGACTGTCACCGGTAGCGTGTAACGCTGTTAAGCGGTCGATATTTTACGGCTATACTAACGTGGCTGCTTCCCCCCATAACGCTGGATGCTAACCAGAGTGTAACGTTACTGACTTATTGTTTTAGAGTAATCAAAACATATTGGGGCAGTTAAAGGTAACGTTACATTACAGTGCTGCAGGTATGGCTGCCAATTGTACCTATGGCTACCTGAGTATTCATTTACAACATCTTAAGACTGGGCTGAAACAAAACAACACATATTGTGTAGTGGTCAGGTAGTTCCAATTGGTGGGGAAATAATTCAAGTCAATAAGGCGACAAGTATTTAGAATACACAGTAACCTTTAATTTCATTCTATAATTAAAAATATATATATTAAAAAAGTAAGCACACCTGCTCTCATATTGCTAAACATTGTCTTTTTAATTTCTCAAAGGTGAATATCAAGTTTGCTTAGACATTATGACTGTTACTGTTCATCCGCACGGCACAGTTTGTTCAAATAACTTTAAAATAACATAATCCATGCTATCTGGATATAGCATGGATTATGTTATGTATTATTGATCAAGTTATCATTATGAGAATGCTCGAAGATTGTTCCTTTCTAAAATGAAGTAAATAACTAAAACATCAATCACCAATTTATCTCAATTATACACTTCCTGTTAGCTTGATCAATACATATAAATAAAAATGTGGCTATGGTAGTTGCTATAAAAAAAAAACAGAATAGGTTTTAGAAAAGTCTCAATTAATCAGTTTGCACCCTGCTTTGAACTGCTGTCATAACTCCTATTTAGCTAGACAAGCATGACATCATCTTCAAAGATTATGCTTGCAAACGCTTATACCACACAATGAATGTGTTCTCTCAAGTGTCATGCTTTGCTTACCTATTAATTGCTGTGATTTCCATCAAATACACACTTAATTGTGTTATCTCTTTTAGGCCTCCCCTTTCCCCTTTCCCTTGTGGTGAGAAGGCGCTGAGGCAATGTTTTATGCCCACTTTGTACTCAGCAAACGTGGGCCGCTGGCCAAAATCTGGCTGGCGGCCCACTGGGACAAGAAGCTGACCAAGGCTCATGTGTTTGAGTGCAATCTGGAGAGCAGCATAGAGAGCATCATCTCACCCAAGGTAATTGCACAATGTACAAAGGTAATGTGAAATACTGCAAGTATATTTTACAGTTCTGTCACTGATCATTTCTGAACATACCTTTTTAAAGGTGAAAATGGCTTTACGAACATCAGGGCATCTGCTGCTGGGGGTGGTGAGGATCTACCACAGGAAGGCCAAGTACTTGCTGGCAGATTGTAACGAAGCCTTCATCAAGATCAAGATGGCGTTTCGACCAGGTTGGTAACAAAATGCAACTTTTAAGTCAAATATATTCAGCAGTGACTCATTATACTCTTTCCTCTAGTGCTCATTACATGCAATGTCAGTCAGAGATTGAAGCCTTTCCTATGTTCCTAGATAAATACAATATTTACTTAAGGTTATATCTGCATCTACACAAATGCGTGCACACACCAACATTATTTATTATTTAAATTCTACAGCATAATGAGGAGATTTTTCAAGTTTATAAATATTTTACAATGAATCAGGCAGCACTTTTATCCTGAAACACATCACACCTACATGCATGCAATACTAAAACTGCATAACATATACAGTAAAAATACCCTGATTCATTCACCATACCCTTATGAGCTAAAGCACATGGTGTAACTCTTACCCTACGTCGTGGTGTTTCAGGTGTTGTGGATCTTCCTGAAGAGAACAGAGAAGCAGCCTACAACGCTATCACGCTGCCTGAGGAGTTCCATGATTTTGACCAGCCACTTCCAGATCTAGAGTGAGTCCTTTGACCCCCTCCTTTTGAATTGTAAAATGGTTTTCAAACTGGAGGATTGGCACACCCCAATTACCCTAACAAAATATGAAATATATAACAAATATGAAATAGCTTAAAGGGGACCTATCATGCAAAATGCACTTTCGTACGTCTTTTATACATGAATATGTGTCCCCGGTGTTCCAGGGAACTCACCAAGTGTCAGAAAACACAACCCTCTCTATTTTCCTCCATACCCAAATCTCTAAAAAAGGGGCTGCAACGGATCTGATAAAAACTGATCCAGATTTGAACACTGTCCTGACGTCAGGACAGTGTGGCTATTGGGCCAACTCCACCAATCAGGAGGAGACCGCCACGGCCATTGCCGTTCGAAAGCGCTGGAGACGCTGTAGTACATATGCCAGGCCAGTAGATGGTGCTGTTCTCACTGAATCTGCTCCTGCACAAACAGAGCTATAAATTGTCAAATTGAGCAAAATGAGGCATGGCTAAAATGCATGATCTGTTTGGTATTTTGAAAAAAAAAAAAGTATAAATATGCCTTATATAGGTATGGTCCTACACTATATTATTCAAATATAGCATGATAGGTCCACTTTAAAGAATAGTGGTGTAAATACAAGATTCATTTGACTTTACTGTGGTGTGTTTTGTACAGTGATATTGACATTGCTCAGCAGTTCAACTTGAACCAGAGCAGGGTGGAGGAGATCACCATGAGAGAGGAGGTGGGCAACCTCACCCTGCTGCAGGACAATGACTTCGGTAGAAATCTTTCCTTCCAACATTCATGCTTTTGTACACTGTCAGGGTCATATGTTTGAACACTCGAAACACATTTCTGTTGTGCAGCTGACTTTGGCATGGACGACCGGGAGATGATGCGGGAGGAGAGTGCGTTTGAGGTGGACATCATGGGAGTGTCCGCCTCCAACCTGCTGCTGGAGGCCGAGGGAGGAGCTAACGCCACGGCGAACAAATCCAACCATCTGGAGTACGACGACCAGTACAAGGACGACTTCGGAGACAACCCCATGGAGAGCACTGAGGGAGGCATGCTGGGTAAGATCCTGTCAATATTATAGACACTGAGACTGTAATGAAAAACACGCATAATGGAGATAATTCCTTCAGTTTTTACTGATTCAAGTTTTACAACATCTGTAATAGACTCTCAAATGCGAGTTTTTCCATGTTTTCTCTTGTTTTAAATCATATTAAACTGAACATCAAAACATTTAAAGAAATCCCCTTGGAGTTGGAGAAACTGTGATGGACATTTTTCACTTTTTCTGACGTTTTGTCAATGGATAAGTAAATACAAATAGTAATCAGCAGATTCGATAATGATTTTTAGGTACAGTCCTCATCTGTAAGTGATGCTGTTTATCCTCCTCACGTCTTATTAGGAGTAAAGAAATATGTCATCACATTTTGTGCTTAAGCAGGTTCCTGGGGTTATTTAGGAAGTCATCCGGAAATGTCACTAAACACTTTTAGCATTTAGATTGGCAGTTAATCAAAGTGAATTATCTTTATTGTAATAACTGAATAACCTCACCTGTCTGTGTAGTTGACAAGCTGCTGAGTAACGAGGAAGGAGACGGCATCTTTGACGACCCTCCTGCCATCACAGACAGCGTGATGATGCCTCAGGTCCACGGATGTGATGATGACGACTTTGATGCTCTCTCAGGTCAGTTACACAACTGCAGCTGTAGACCCTTTTGTAACTTGTTATATGCAACTAAAATTACAATACAATCACCTACATCAAACATGTTATGGTGTGTGTTGTTAGCCGGAGCCCCAGATAGTCCCGACTCCGGCCCAACAGAGCCCCTACCAGCCATGGCGGACCAGACAGAACATACCACCCTGGTTCACAACGAAGAAGAAACCTTCGCCTTGGAGCCCATTGACATCACAGGTAATTGAGTTACTCGACTCGCTGTTGGAGCAAAGAGAGAGCAAGACAGTGTGCTTGTGTAGAAAATGTGCATTGGAATCGTTTCAAATATCACAACCTATATTGACATATCTTTCACCAATACAGAGATAGTGTTTTGGCTCGAAATCTGAGAGCTGTTTTGGTTTTCTTAGCTGATTCATCTCTTTCTCTCTATTGACGGTGCAGTAAAGGAGACCAAGGCCAAGCGTAAGAGGAAGCTGATTGTGGACAGCGTGAAGGAGTTGGACAGTAAGACCATCCGTGCACAGCTGTCTGATTACTCCGACATAGTCACCACCCTGGACCTGGCCCCCCCCACCAAGAAGCTGATGATGTGGAAGGAGACGGGAGGAGTGGAGAAGCTTTTCTCCCTCCCTGCTCAGTCTCTGTGGAATGTTAGGCTGCTTAAGGTTAGTGATGCAAAGTTAGTCAGGGACAAACTACGATTAAAATGCTCTGTCTTTCTGGTTCTTCATATCCACCCTCCCCTTTGCTTTCTCTCTGTAGATGTTTACAAGGTGTCTGACCCCCCTGGTGCCAGACGAGCTGAGGAGGAGGAGGAAAGGTGGAGAGGCCGACAGTCTGGATGAGTTCCTCAAGGATCTGGAGAACCCGGAAGTGCCCAGAGAGGAAACAACAGGACAGCAGCAGAGAGACATCATGGGTATCAAATGGGTGTTTGTGTACATGTATGAAGAATTTATTGGCGAACAGACATAACACAAACTGAAGTGCTTGAATTTGGGTTGGCTATGGTTTGGTATGAAATTGGTAGGTGGCAGACAAAAACAATGTATTTTTTGCGGAAACGATTGGAAATGTAATTATTGAGTGCATATCCTTTTCTCCAATGTTAATATTTGGCAGACTAAACCCGTTTCTAAGTATTTTATAGCAGAATTAACAGCTGACCTTGCTACAGACCTGAACCGACCTTGCTAAAAAAAAAAGGGGGGGGTGGGTGGTGTGAATGTATTCTCTCAGTGACATTAAACTGAAACATGCATTTTTCCTCAGGCATAATCAAGACAATATTTTGTTTTTTCTAACCATTCTATTTCCTCTCCAGACCAGACCATCATGGAAGAGGCTAACGTTCTGCAGACCTCAGCTGTTGAGGGCAGCAGGACAACGCTAGACGAGTCGGTCATGCCCCCCCCCCTCATCCCAACGTGGTCTCAAACGCAAAGCCCAGGACACGGAGCCAGCCCTGCCCGTGAGTACAGTTTTCCCCTTGCAGATGAATCGTCTCCGTTGAGTTTGTCGATACATACAAATATCTTGGCTTTTGGTTGGACAGAAATCTAAACTTTAAACACCACATTGAAGTTCTAACTAAGAAATTGAAATTCACTCTTGGCTTCCTTTACAGACTTAAATGTTGTTTTTCAACTTCTTCACGTAAAAGGTTGGTCTCTGGCTTATTCCTGTCCCAGCTTGACTATGGTGATACAATTTATAGATTTGCCTGTCCCACTGTTTTGGACAAACTTGACCCACTCTACCATGCTGCACTGCGATATATATCAAATGCACCCTATAGGACTCATCATTGCACACTGTATAGCCTAACTGGATGGTCCTCACTTAGTGTGCGTAGGATGCAGCATTGGTTTTTATTAATGTATAAAGCCATTTTATGTAAGCTTCCACTGTATATATGTGCCAGATTTGCTCCAGTTTGTGACTCTTACAACCTCAGATCCAGTGCCTGGATACGGTTCCAGGTTCCTGCCGTGCGGACTGAGGCTGGAAAAAGGAGTCTTTTGTGTTATGGTCCTTGGTCTTGGAATGACCTTCAATCACGCCTAAAACTGATGGCACTTGTCCCAATAGCCTGTTTTAAATTGAAGTTGTCTGAGGTCCTTACCACCAGCTACTCTTGCAGTAATAAGTAGCGTACCTTTCTTACTGTCCCAAATGTGCACAATGTAGTGACTGCTTTTCGTCTTTTTGTTTACTTAGTTGTGTTCTCTGTATTTTATATGTCTGTGTTATGTGTAATAATGTGTAACGTTGCTGCCTTCTTGGCCAGGTCAGCATTGTAAATGAGATTTTATCTCAATGCTTTTTATCTGGTTAAATAAAGGTTAAATAAATAAAAAAGTTACATTCATGATCCATATCTGAGATCACCCCATATTTGGTGTCAGGACTCCAAAGTCTCCACCCTGGGAAAAAACTCAAAGACAGTTTTTTCCCAAGAGTCATCATTGCTCTTAACACCTGCAAGTCATACCTCTTAATCATCCTGCATGAGAAATAAATGTGACTCTGTATATATATATATATACATATATGTCATTATTATTATTATAAATACGATACCTACTATTATTATTTATTACATTTTAGATTTTATTTTGTATACCCCTGGAAATAATTACTGCACTTTATTCCTTATTCCTAAGTATGTATGCTGTGTGTATTTGTTGTCTTATGTTGTGATGTTTTTTGTTTTGATGGCACCTTTTGAAAGGGAGAAGCATTTTTTTCTCTCATTGTACATGTATAATGACATATAATGATTATATTCTATCTCTAGCATCCGTTAACGTTTTTTTCTCTAAATAGGAGCAGCTGCAGCAGGAGTCCCAGCAGCAGGAGTCCCAGCAGCAGGAGTCCCAGCAGCAGGAGTCATCCAGTGTGGATCTGCCTCCAGAGGAGAGCACCAACATCAGCCAGATGATAGAGTTGGACCTGCTCTGCGACAAGGACAGGAAGAAGGACGACGACGACTCTGATGAAGAGGTGAGATACAGATCTACAGTACACCTGTGGGATTTGTATTTTATTCCTTATTTTTCAGATGAATTTAAGGAGGATTTATGTTGTCAATTACTTTATTATAAGGAACATTTGTTAGTGTTTAAAACGTTTTTCTGTGTCAGGAGGAGAAGGGGCAGGGAGGAGACCAGGACCAGGAGGAGAGGAAGTGGAACAAGAGAACTCAGCAGATGCTCCATGGCCTTCAGGTATGTTTGTGTTACATCTTATTGGAAGAGCCAGAATAACAGCATATCTTGCAACGGTAACACTTTATATTAAGGTACACAAATTAACCATCAACTAGTTGTTAATTAACATGCATATTAGCAGTATATTGGCTCTTTATTAGTCATTATAAAACACTTATTAATGCCTTATTCTACATGACCATATTCTACAAGTAATACGCCATTAGTTGAGAGTTTTTCCTCAATAACCCTCTAATTAGTGCTTATTTATTGCAAGTAAGGAAGTTGTTGTACATGAGTTTTGGTCTTAATATGCTCTGCTCAATATGGGCCTAATAAGGCAGTAGTACCACAAGAATAGTAATTCTCCCATAATAACATTTAACAAATATGATCTATTTTTATGTAACAAGACATTCAACTATAACTGTTAATTGTGTCTAAATAACTCAAAATTAGGTATTTATATCTAAGAACATGTTCCCTATTTTAAAGTGAAGTCTTGTTCATAACCAATAAGCTAGTAGTTAGACTCTAATTAGGTATTTATATTTAAGAATATGTTCCCTATTTTAAAGTGAAGTCTTGTTCATAACCAATAAGCTAGTAGTTTGACTCTAATTGACCTGAACAGGTTCCCTATTCTAAAGTTGCCTCCTCTTCACACTTTGTAAATACATTATAGCACGCAACTACTGAAAGTAACCTCAACAGTACATGAACAAAGTAGGCACATGTTCAAATATCTGTTTTATTAATGAACCACTAAAGAGAGATTCAGACACAAACCAAAACATGTCAAGTTTCTCCAAGGCTGAGAACATATATGCAGCCTGTACTTTTTTAATAAAAACAGATTTTGAACAGATTTTATGTATTTGTGATCATACTGTGTGACCTGCTTGTATGTACTTACACAATAGGTGTACTGTTCTCTCTATGGCTGCTTCTCAGGTCGATTAAATGGAATCCTTGCGTCCCTCACTTGCGTCGTTTCCCTGCGTTTAGTCCCTCCCACCAGGGAAGCATGGAGAGACGCAAGGAAACCACGAGAAGCAGGGAAATTAGTTTTAAGAGCAATGGGACGTCCTTTCCTCCGGAGCGTCACGTGAAGCGACGTCCGTTTGTGATGACGCCGCACAGCTGATGTCTGACAGCAGCTCTGTCCCCGTTGTTTTCACACACACCCCCGCCTCTGTTAGTACACATTTACTGACATATACATTTGTATCATCTGTTGTAGACCCAAATAAATAAAATAAAATAAGAACTCATTCTCAAAAAAGATAAACGCCATTCTTAAAATGTATAAACGAAAAAAGCGATCATGAAAATGTTTCCAATAAATGAATAAAACAATTTTTGACCACTTTGTTGTTCAGATATATCACATATTTGTAACTGAATGATGCATTCATTGAAACAAAACACAGTATAAACTGAGGAGTGACTCTTGTGAGTTTCATGTGTTTTCTTCACTCCGCTGGGAAACTGCTCTCATGTCAAGAAGCATCAGATCAGTGCATGCGCTGCATCGTCCAATCAGTGAGCGATACACAGTAAGGGGGCGGGGCGAGTATCTGAGGATTTCATCAGAGGATGGTCTGGTAGTTCCTCCATTATCGCTCCTCCATTCTCGCTCCTCGCTCCTCCGGCAGAAATAAGCGCCATGGGACAGTACTCAAGATGGCGCAGACAAATCAACTTCTGGTGATACAGAGGACTGATGAGCGAGGAAATGAAAATAATCGACCTGAGAAGCAGCCAGTGTGTTGTACTGTCTCAGTGTGAACATAGATTAAACAGCCAGCCAAACTATTTTGAGAGCCAGGGAATGAGCAGCCATGCTCCTTTATTGACTTAGGTCGCATTCACACCAGCCTTGTATAGTCCGGTTGAATCGAACCCTGGTGCGTTTAGCCGCTTGGTGCGGTTCGTTTGGGTCGGTGTGAACACAGTCCGCACCAAAACATAGGAAGCGTAGTATTTACGTGTCACAAGAACGCGGGTGTCTTCAAAATCGTTAGCGAAAGAGTGAAGCAGAATGAAGTGTTGAACAGTGTCGTGTAAAGTAAAAAAAACTATCAAACTAAAAACTATACATAAAAGTCAGATCCACCTGCCGTCGGTGTAACCCCCTCCTTACTGCAGAACGTCTCTCATTATATGTGTTATAATGTTTTGTATCGCACGTTGTCTGATTATATAATCATATGCGCCGTTGCTGTTGATATGCTCTCCAGATTAACAACAGCATGAAAATAACCTGCCGATGCTCCATGGCGGAGGCTCCGGTAGAAATTGCCGGGATTTGCGTTTTTACCCCCTTAATGTCTGACCAATTGTTGAACAGAATTTCCGAGCACATGACTTGTGTTTAAAGTTTATAGTCCGTTTGAATTTTGCCTGTGTGAACCAAGCGGCAAACTCTGGGGCAGAGCCGGGACGCCAATAAGGAAGTGCCACAAACTGCAGTTTATCTATTGGCCGATAGGCGATGACTGCAGAAAGGAGGAATTTCCATAGACCCCCATGTTAAAATGCCCAACTTTACAGCAGAAATAAACATGTTTCTACCCCTGGATGCAATACAAATTATTCGGGATATAGTTAGATTCCACCTTAATGATTATTAATTGTTGAGTGAATTGTTTTATAACGCGACCCTTTTATTTATATTAGGTCTTAAAGTTTTTGCATAAATTAGGGCGTGGTCACTTTGATGGACAGGTACTTTTATAGTCTATGGCTATGACGCCCATAATGCTAAACGGGAGCAAAAGTTAAAAATTATCCCAGTGGTGGCCGTCCCGGCGGCGGAGTCCGGCGTTATAACTGGAGATCAAGGAATGCAGCGAAATGCGGACTTGGTTCGCCTGCAGCCCGCTGTAGTATCAGCTAAATAAATTATGTTGAACAAGGCTTATTAAGTGAGCATGAGCATGTGAGCATGTTAGCCTAGCTTGGTAGCTTCAGCTAGATCGGGAGCTTGGAGCCCCGCCTTGTGTTTCAGCAGGTCCCGCCTCGGCTCCGCCTCTTTGCCCTTATTTGGATCAGGCGGGAGTTAGACTCAGTCTGAAGTCACTGTCGAGCCGTTAGTGGCCGACTCCGTCAACTAAGGGCTTCTCTGCAACTCTGCAGAATCCTATGGGTGACGTCACGGACCCTACGTCTAGGCCTGTCACGATAATTAATTTTGTTTTGGACGATACATTTTCCTGGAAATTATTGCGATAAACGATAATATTGTCGGCGCTGTTGTAAGACCATTTTAGACCACTGACATAATGGTAATATATAATAATAATTCAAGTACATCCTTTCAAACATAACTTTTTATTGAACATTCAACATTGCAAATGAAATGTGAAATAATATTAAAATATATAAATGATATATAATGAATAAAACAAATTAATTAAATTTATAATAAATTAATTAAATCACACACAACCAAAACAATAAATAAATAAGAGCACACATTGTCTCACAAGCAAAAAAAACCTCCTTAAAACAACAGTCAAGTGTACAGTCCACTGTCCATACAAAGACCCAGATGCCTCAACAGGCCATATCCAAATCTGTTTTTCAAAGTTTTCGAGCAAGGAACACCAACCTTCATTTCATTTAAAGCCTTTATTTATCCAGGTGTATCCCTTGAGATCATTGATCTCCTTTTCAAGGGAGACCTGCTCAAGTAGACATGTTTGCATTGTCGGGCAAATGCATCTTTGATTGTAAACTGTCGGGAAGGTGGGGGCTCTCCATCTCCAGCTGCCGTGTTTGCTACCAGCTGGGAAAACGGAATGGGGTGGTTGTGTTTCAGGTGTAGTTTAAAATGCGTGGGATTGCCTGCTTTTGTCGCTATCTTTTTTAAACAAATGTGACACACCGCCCGGCTCATTCAAGTCCGTAGGTTCGCCTCGTTGATTTGGCTTGAATCCAAAATACTGCCACACCGGAGAATTGAGATGTGTAGTTAGGTTTTGTAACCAATTCCATTTCACTTTAAATTCCCCGCGAGTAAGTCACACGTTGTCTCCTGCTTGTCGCTATATTATTAATTTGGCTGCTACGCTGCTGCACGTGCACGCGGAGTGTCCTGACCTGGCTGTGTGTCAGCCCCGCCCCTCACAGCGCGCGTGGCCGGCAGCCACAGCGCGCCTGGCAGCCAAAGCGCTCCTAGCTAAAATGCTGGTCACATCCTTATGTAAACAGCAATTTATCGAGCTCAGAAAAGTTATCGAGTCCATTTTTATTTATCGTACGATAAGTCAATTTATCGATTATCGCGACAGGCCTACCTACGTCCATTTATATATAGTCTATAGCCGCGTTCACACCGCAGTACTTTTCCCACTTTAGTTCCGATATAGTTCCGAAATGTCGCGTTCACACCAAAAAGAGCCGGAACTAAAATTAGTTCATCAGAACCTTTTTTACCCCCTTTTCCGTCAGTTATCCGTCCCTGCTAGAGAGCAGGTACTTTCGTGGGAGAAAAAGGTTCCTATGTCTGATTGGCTGGGCGGAATGCAAACCACGCCCCGTAAAACTCCCAAAACGTTTTGTGAAGCCGCCATTTTATTATCCTCGCATTAGCATTATTAGCATTAGCATTAGCCCAGCGCACAAACGCAGAGAGACTAACTTATGGCAACACAAAAGAAAACATGGGAGCGGTGGAGATGAGGAGGTGTCGGCGTTCTGGCGATTTACTCGGAAGGCTTCAGTAGAAGCTGTTGTGTCCCGTCAAAAATGTTAAGTCCAGTCATGTTTCATGTTCTTGTTTAACCATTTTCTGTCTTGTCTCCCACTTCCTATCCTGGTGTGTGTCTCCCGCCCTCATCAGCGTCAGCCCCGCCTCTGATTGTTTCCACCTGTGTCCAGTTACTTTTTGTTTATAGTCCCCAGCTTCCCTTTGTTCCTTGTCAGTTCGTCTTGTCCTGTCTCTATGCAAGTAGTCAGCGTGCCTGCGATTACTCACCTTGTCTCATGCCTGATTTATGCTCTTGAATTATTTTGTAAGTTTGTTCCTCACTTAGTGAGCGATTTTTTTTGTGCCTTTTTGAACCTTTTTTGTCGATCCTTATTTATTATCCTGTTTTTGGAATAAATTATCTTACTCATAATTTACCTCTGTCTCCTGGGTCGTGCATTTGAGTCCAATACCTTGTGTTTCCAAGTTCGTGACAGAACGAACTGACCACAATGGACTCAGCCGACCCAAAGACATTTCATGCCGCCCTGTCAGCCCAAGGAGAGAGGATTTTTTACCATGAGAAACAGCTGGGCTTAATCAGCCAAGGAGTTTAATGGCGCGTTTCCACTACAGCGCGGAGCCCCGTTTAAGAGAGCTGTGACGTCAGCGGCCCGTCTTTGGTTGCGTTTCCACTTGGCCTAGTACCGGCTAGCGGGTCCTAATTCACAGTTTTTCTGGCCCCATAAAATCGTGGTTCTAGGGCCAGGAACAACCAAGCTGAGTCGGGCTGAGTGTGCTAACTAGAGAGAGAATCGCTGGCAAGGGGGCTACAACTACAACAAGATGAACATATTTGACCGTGATTTAATTGTAATACACGTTTCAAAATTATGCCGAAGTAACAACATACTGATACCGGTTAGTAAAAACCATGAATTAATGCTTTGACAAGTCTGCAGACAGACGGCAGGCGAAAAACCTTTTAAAATGCGTGTTTTCTAAATGGAGATTGGCTAAGCTAACGCAATATATGCTCCGACCGTCCACACTCACAACAACGGCCTATACAGACATAAATAAACCAGCGACTGTATTCGCCATGACACAGACAGTCTGTGGTTTGTACTTGTTTAACTTTTGTCTAGTTTCTGAACAGATATGAGGAGCTGTGAGCTCTGAGTGCTAACAGCTAACGGCTGTGTTGTTTTTCTGGGGTTCTCATTGAAGATGGCGTCACGGCTCCGCCTACACTGCGTTACTATAGATACTACCCCAGTTCCTAAACTGTAATGGAAATGTGCCATAAAGTGAGCCAGTCATAACGAGGCCTAGCCATACCGAGCGAGGCCGAACGAGGCCGTGTAGTGGAAATGCGCCAAAAGAGCTTGTAGGAAGCCAAGCCGAGCTCCAGGATTCTGTCTCTACCCAGATACAACAGCTGACGGATCACATGCAGCAATTCTTCGCTCACCTACAGACTACTCCGCCGATGACGTCATTCACAGCTGACTGCTTTCCTGTCGAGGATCCTGCTGACGCTGTCAAACCGATCCAGGCTGTTTCTTCCTCACTACAGCTGGCTCTTCCGGAGAGGTTCTCCGGAGATTCCATGAACTGCAGAGCAGTGCGATCTGCATTTCCAGCACAACCCAGAGGCTTTCTCATCAGACCATGGTAAAGTGGCGTTTATTGTGTCCCATTTAACGGGAAGAGCTGCAGCCTGGGCTACTGCAGAATGGTCCGGAGACACTGAGCTTTGTTACTCATTAGCCGACTTCACAGACACTATGAGTCCATCTGGATCGACAACCGACTTCGGGAGAGGGAGCGAGAACGCCGGCGCACCCGTGACGCTCAGCACCCGATTATTTTGGGTTTTCCGTGGTTAAAAATCCACTGGTTAAAGAGTTCTCATGAACTAAGTTCTCATGAACCTTTGTGGGAAAAGTACTGCGGTGTGAATGCGCCTTATGGTGTGAACGCAAACCGAACCTTCTGAAAAATGAAACAAACTGTCGTCTGGTGCGCACCAGAGAAGCGGACTATTAGGTGTGAATGCGACCTTATTTGCAGTCCACTGACATTCAAACGGAGTGAAACTATAAAAAAATAAGTTACAAGGCACTGAATGATCTCATACATGCAAGTGTAACATACACAGATTGTCACATAGGACCGCTAAGTGTAAACAAGGTAAATATAGCTAATGCTAGCTGTGCAATAAGCATGTATTGTATACAGGCTAGTATGGCTAACGCTAGCATGTAAGCTAATGCTACCGCGAATGCTAACGCATTTTCTCATTGTGTTTAAACATCTCCAAATGTCATCACATAAACACAATACATGTTACTAATCCTTACAGTGTAAGTTCAAGGCTTAAACTTACACTTACAGTCATTGCTTTCTGACGGAATTGACCCTTTTACTCTTCAGGTTGCATAGGGAAAATTAGTAGCAGTCTACTCATGGATGTCTACTGCCATGCTATTCAGTTCACTTTCTCCTACTTCCTGTACCCGGTTTCCTGTCAAGAATATGGTCATGTAGAATAAGGCATTAATAAGTGTTTTATAATGACTAATAAAGAGCCAATATACTGCTAATATGCATGTTAATTAACAACTAGTTGATGGTTAATTTGTGTACCTTAATATAAAGTGTTACCCTTGCAACTACTACTTCAAATTCATACATTATAACACCCTGGATTATATTCTATTTAAGTGATAAGTAATATTTGGCCTGTAGAACTAGATATGAAACATTGCACAGGCACGCTTATGTAAAATGTTCCTTTCAGGAATTGTTATAAAGACAGAAATATATTCATGCTTTTTGATGTTTTAGGGGAAAAGAATAGGCCTAATAGAAAATGTGCTTTATCTCGGAAAAATTGGAAATAAGGTATTTGAACTGAAACAGATATCTGTAACCCTTAGATGCATAAGAGAGTGAGGTGGTTTTCTTGAAGTATCTTTGTAATTACATTGTTTTATCATTTCATATTCCAGCTATTCCTCAAAAAACATGTTTTGGATATCATGCCATTCAAATTTTAAATTTACATTTTATACATTTTAAGAAATTGTAGTTTTTGTATTACTACCCCAAGCTTCCATAAGTGGGTCATTTTTGACCCGGTGAGGTGTTTTCTTGAAGTATCTTTCTAATTACATTTTTTTATCATTTCCTATTCCAGTTATTCCTCAAAAAACATGTTTTGGATATCATGCCATTCAAATTTTAAATTTACATTTTAAGAAATTGTAGTTTTTGTATTACTACCCCAAGCTTCCATAAGTGGGTCAAAAATGACCCGCATGCATTTTCTATGGAATCCTATGGGAACCTTTGATTCTTATCACCTGTGGCTGTCAGGAATACATTCACTGTAGACCACACAGACTACATCACTGTAGTGACACCTCTCAGGAAGATTATTTTACACAGCAAGATCTGATACCTGTCAGTATAATAATAATAATAATAATAATAATAATAATAATAATAATAATAATAATAATAATAATAATAATAATAATAATAATACATTATATTTTTATAGGGCTTTTCAAGGAATCAAAATCACTTTACAATTGAAGGGAAGGTTAGGGTGGGGGGTATAGGACTATCAAACTTGATCAACCGGCATGGATTGATGGGGGGTGGGCTATGAGTAGACAAGAGGAGAAGAGATGAAACGTTTTTTTTCAAAATGTAAAAAAAATGTCTAAAATTATAAATAGTGAAAAATTAAATATAAAATATTTCTAGTGTGAACCAAAATATAATACTAAATATTATACAAGTGATTTTTCTTAACCAAAATGACAGAAATGGCATAAAAACACATATTATTCTAATACGGGTCCTTTTTGACACACTTATGATAGATATTACACAAAACTAGGAATTATATCACGAGAACAAACAAACAAATTACAATATATTGAAAAAAATACAGGTTTACATTTCCTTACAACTTGTCAATAAAGCTCTTTTGAATTTAAATTTGATAAGGCGCTTTTGTGATTCTACACGCATGAGGCTTTGGAGTGTTCTATTTGGTATAGGACCTTATCATCTGCTGCTTAAAGTAGTTGATCTAGAGATGTAATACTTCAATGACTTTAAAAAAAGAAACCTTTCCTGACCTCCTCTGTCTCACCTTGCCACAGAGGGTGATGGACAAAACGGGCGCCCAGTCGGTGGGCCTGTTGGATCTGTGCAGGAACAACAACAAGAAGCAGGCGGCGGCCAAGTTCTACAGCTTCCTGGTTCTGAAGAAGCAGCAGGCGGTGGAGCTGGTGCAGGAGGAGCCGTACAGCGACATCGTAGCTACACCCGGACCTCGCTTTCACATCATCTAGAAAACACTAGTTTAGTAAGGAAAAGGTTATTTTGTGGGATGTTCTTCTTCCTGCAATATTTAAATATTGTGGTGGGAGCAAAGATGTTTGAATAACCAGGTTTGTTTATTATGTCTTCTTAGAAAAAATCCAAAGCAAGGGGGGTTGCAAATCAAAACAATTGGCACTTTTCTTATTTATTATAATTTATTTGATCTATTTATATTCTTTAGCTTTTTTTTTTTATTGATAAGCACTTTTATCCCTAAGGAGATGTTGTGTTGCACTGGCATGGAACTCAAGTTAAAATGTGTCTAGTTTAAAATATGTTCATGGTGCAAGTGATAACTCAATCAACCCTGTTACTTGGAGACTCTTCTGTCCCAACACTGCAGGAAAAACAGTTCTCATGTACACTGACATTAGCCAAAAGGAGCATGCACTATACCCAGAGCCTGCAAGAGAACATTTGAACAGTTACTACAGTAGTGAAACTCAACCAGCAACTAATCATGGTATGACTGTAGTGTAGCACTTTAAGTATTGCTGACTTCCAGTTGTACATTTTGTAAATGCGTGGCTTGCATCTTCAACTGTTTGCACAAAACTATAGTTGTGTCCCAAAGCCATACTACATACTTATTTAAAAAATGTTTGAGTGTGCCGCTTTTGCACACTATAAATATATTACTGCATAGAAATAGTATCTACTATGGAAGTGGGACACAGCTTTGGTTTCAACCTATAGATGATGTAAACAGCAGTGGCCGGCCATATTTGCATGCTAGTCCTGACATGTATTGGTGTAATTGCTCAAGAAATTAACATTTGTATTACTGTGTTGCTCTCATATTCCTAAAAGACTTGAAGTTTGTGAATGGCTCAATTTATCCTGTGTCCTTTTTATGTATAGATAATCATTTAGTTAAAACTGTACAACAAACTGTTAAGAATAACTTCTGAAAGTTTAAATCAAGTTGATACTTGTTCAATATCAATGTATTAATGTAATATATATATCAAGAGAATTCACTTTTTTGATTAAAAAGCAACATTTTTAATCTCTAGAATGAATAATTACACAATCAAGATGTCTAATTGGTCGTTGGACTCACACAGCATACAGTACATTTCCAGCTAAATGCATTGTTTTTGATATCTACTTCGATTTCAACCTTATATGATGTAATGTCTGAGTATGTTATATTCTCAACTATGTGCCTGTAAACCTGCTTTTTTATTTTGTAAAAAAGCCAAGACAAATCTTCCATGACTCAAAAATACTGCTATGTTTCTGAACATATATCAGTCCTGTGCCTGTAAGTCCTTAGTCTTGAAACTGTTGCAACATTTTTCAAAATAAAAAACATACCGTGAACAGTATTTTAAAATGTTATCATGTGAAAAACATTGCTTTATTCTAATAACATCAGTAAAACACACTAGAGCAAGTATCATATATTTTAGATTGTGGAACTTTTCATATAATGAATTAAAGAAACGAATGGATAAAGTCTGTCTTGTTTCTATGCGTTTGTAACCACAGGAGCTGACAAGTTGTCTCCTCCCTCCGTCTTTTGTTTCTTGTTTCTAACTCTTTTCTTCTTCTGCCCCTGCTCCGTGTTCTTCGGTGGTGTCGGCCCCCCTTTCTTCTTTTTCTTCAGGCAGCTCAGAGGGTTAGGATTGCTCTGTTTCCTCTTCCTCTTCTTCCCCCGCCTCTCTCCGTCCTTCTGTGCAATGCCCTTGTCCTCCTTCAGGCTGCGGATGCTCTGCTGCTGCGCCACGCTGACCATCTCTCCCAGCGAGACGGCCTTCACGTGATCAAGGGACGTCTGGCAGGGCTTGTCCAGCACGATGGTGTTGAGGATGATGTAGAGCAGAGGAACGCCTGGGATCTTCTTCACACCTGCAGTGACTGTGTGGTCCTGGAGTACACACAGATACAAAATCAATGCATCAGAGGTTGTTGCTTAGTAGTTTTATACCTTTTTTTGTATATACCCATTCGAATTTGTACATGAGTTCTATGTTTACTTTACAGCTTTGTTGTCCTTTTAGCTTTATGTCTATTTATATCTGTATGTGTAGGTGTGTTTAAACATAAGATAAGGTCAGCTGATTCTGATTTCCAACATACAAAAAACGGTACTTGTGGGTTATCTGTCGCCATTTTTGTTTCTTTTTTTCAGACTCTCTAAACAACCCTAACCACTAGGATTAATGTTTGTTATTTTGATCTGGCAACAGATAACCCACAAGTACCCAAAAAACACATTATTCCTTATTTTGCTTTCCCTCTGGTTGGTGTGTGTCAGTGTACAAAGGATCTATTTGGTATTTACCTGTGTGGCAACTAAGTAGTTGTGTGGGTTTGTCTCCCCCAGCATGGACAGCAGACACTCTGAAGCCGGGACAGGATCCTTAAGATGTGCACATCTCCTGGACTGAAACTTCTGCAGGATGATTCTTGCTCCATACAGCTCTTTCCCCAGAGTCTCCAGTTCTTTCAGTGCACAGCTGGAAAAAAAGTAAGATGTAAGATATTTACATTTAACATAAACACTATACATGAGTAGCTCCACTTACTTTGTGGTGCACAGCTGCACTTCTCCCATCAGATATTTGGGCATTTGCTCTTTGATCTGAATTTTGTTCTTTAAAGCCATCTGACAAAAAGTCCCATCGATGAGGATCTGAAATGGTTGTCTGAAGCTGAAGTTGTATTTGTAGAAGCTTATGGTTTTCTTGGCTATTTTCTGTCGCTTGAGTCCCATGGTGACTGATAGGTGCAGTCAGAAATACGGCTGTAATTGTTGTTGTTAAGTCCCAGACTATTCTTCCGGTTACATTGACTCGTTTTATGGATTTAACACAAAAATATCAAAGGATTATTATCGGATATTTCAGCATGGACACTTCCAGAGTTCACAACATGCTTGCAGTGCTTGCTTCTCATGACTCCGGGTGGAAACAACATATGCGACGATGGTTCCGGGCAGTCATGGTTGTCCATTTATTTATGGCTGTCTTTGTAAGAAAACAATTATCATTCTGTGTATGTACATTCATATCAAATTGCCCAGCACTTTCTCAAGCAAATACTGTTTTTATACTTGCTTACCCCAAATGGGTCCCTTTTTATTTATGTATTACATGAGAATAAACCTCCAGTGTGAGGTTTCGGTCGACAGGGGCGCTAACTGCAGCTTCGCCAGGTACTGGTGGCGCGTCTGCAAAGTGGGAAGCGGTTTCCATTTTCAAACCCTAACAGACCGAGGGACGGGCCCCTGGATTGTAGAACAACGTAAACACCAACACGTTAAAGCGTTTAGCCGTAACATTTTTACGTTTCCTTTCATAAACCAGTGCGTTGTCCTAATCAAAGGCCGCGTTTTGTTTTTTTATCCCACTGGATCCGCGAAATAGCTCGTCCGTCGCCGCGTCTTCGCTCCCGTTTTCCGCGCCTGGTTCATTTGAATGAAAACCCGACTCGTTTGCAGCAGGTGTTGACCAACCCGGACACTGATCCACCCTAAAATATTACTCTTTTTTTGGCGGACAGAGCAAGCAATTTCTGCAAGAAACATGCCGCGGTCCAACAGGCAAAAAGAATACAAACCTGGAGATCTTGTGTTTGCTAAAATGAAGGGGTATCCACACTGGCCTGCGAGGGTAAGCACCTGACGTTGAATGTATTTGAACCAGCTTAAGGTTTGATGTACATTTGAGTCTTTCTGTTTACCTACCAGGCCTATCAGTAACGTTGGTTAGCATTAGCTTTGATGAGTTAGCTTAGCTCAGCCGTGTTAGCTAACGCTGCCCAGCCTCCACACACAGCTAACCAACTGTAGACAAATGTCTTTCGAGTGAGTCATCGTGGACACAGACATCATTACCCTGCTCGGCTAACTAAATATGACTGGTGTTGCTAGCTGCTCTCTGCCGCCGAAGCTGCTCTTCATGTGCCGCTTTCGTCTCCCAGGGGGCCTGTTGTTAGGCTAATAACAGCTAACCGTGCAGAAGAGCAGCCACAAGTTAACGGTCATGTTATACACAGCTAGTAGCACACGCTCTGTGAACACAGGGCCACCTGAGGACACTGATAGGAATCCACTTTGTATCTACATTACTTACTAATTTGGAGGTGTTTTTTTTGTATAACTGTTGCATTACATGTTTGTGTACAGCGTGTGTAGCCATATGGTTTGATACTTTGTAAACATGCCTGCCCAGACTTGGTGCAACAAGTAACTGTTTCTGCTCCTAAGGATAGACTTTCATTACAGCCAGTGATGTAGAGTAAAGGTACATTTACAAAAGTACTGTACTTAAGTACAATTTTAAGGTACTTAACTTGAGTATTTCCATCTTTGTACTTCTACCCATTACAATTCAGAGTTGTTGTTTTTACCCCACTACATTTATGTTATACCTTTTTAGTTACTTTGCAGATTTGGATTAATGATATGATTGGATTTAAGACAAGCTATTGCAGTAGCACTTAATCTGGTTGGGTTTATAGATAGTTTTGGATAAAAAGCGTCAACTAAATTAAGTGTAATGTAATATGAAATATAATCGGCACTTAAATAAGACTTTAGTCACACCTGGACTAAATCCACAAGCTACCCTCCAGTATAAAAAGTAATTAAAATTAGATCCACTGTTACCAGCTGTGATAAACACTTTGATGCATCAATAATTATAATCAAAACATATAATATATCTAATTCTGAAATGGACCAATCTTAATAATGAGTACTTTTACTTTTGTTACTTTAAGAAAGTTTAAGTATATGTTTTTATTTCAATACTTTTCTACTTTTACTTGAGTAACATTTTGAATGCAGGACTTGTAACATTATTCCTGCTCTCTGGTAGTTTTACTTAAGTACGCAATCTGAATACTTCTTCCACTTCTGATCACGGTAAATACATTGGTCCATGCTAATAACAACAGACCATAACGTAATCTCTACCAGTTCTATGAACGCATTACAGTCAGTGTTTCCTAATCATTCATTATTACAGAAAGTGTGAACTTTAAACAGAATTACATTTCCCTCTAAAACGCACCCTCACTCAGAGCTTTATAAAAAACTGTTCTGCACTTACAAAATCAGATAAAATGTGGATCAAAATAAAAAACAATGTTGTTCTTTATTCTACACTATAGCCAAAACAATAACTCAAAAACCGTAACCTTCTGAAGTTGAAAGTCAACAGTTAATTACAATTTTAGTCAGTGTTTGAGTTTTTATGTTTCAATCTTTTATGCATTTGAATGACAGAACATACTATACCAAAATCGCAAAGTCCTGATCGGTACCTTTTCCTGCCTTTTTTTCTAAGTCATATCAGCCATGGCGCTTGTCAGCAGGCTACCTATCCTGACACCACGGCCCTATCTTGGAATGCCAAAGCTGTCTGTCTGGCAGTTTGCAAACAAACGCCATGCCTTCCTGTGCCTCTGTTCTAACAAATAAATATTGGCAAATACAAACATCCAAGCTTGACTTAAAAAATGTCTTGCATGGCTGATGCTCTGTGAACTCAAAAAACATTAACTTCTATAGAATGTTTAAAGTTTATATCTGTAAACATGATTCAGGATACAAATGTTTTGTTCTAGTCGTACTGGGTTTTCATTACAGTATTTTAATCTACTTTTGTTATTTCCTTCATTTTTGATTGTCCTATTTTTCTGCCTTTCCTAAGAAGCTGTGTTCTGTATTTACAGATTGACGAATTACCCGAAGGAGCTGTGAAGTCCCCCTCAAACAAGTACCAGGTGTTCTTCTTTGGGACACATGAGACGTGAGTAATGTGTTTAAGTGTTGTGTGTTTTATTCCAGGTGGAGCAAATATGATGGATAAACATTAAGAATTTAAGAAAATAGAACACAATTGTCTCTTTTTTCTGAATTTTGGGGGGAAACAGTAATACTTAAAAAATAAAAAAAATAATACTGAAAAGTTGATTATTTGTTGTGAAAATTATCACGGAAATACCTTATTATATCGTATATCGCAGTCAAATGTCCGTATGTAGAAATCGACAAAGCTAATTGTATGGCATAACTCCGTCTCTGACAAACAGACATTTGAAATGAACATGCTGGAGTGTATAGGTGCACACTTTAACGAAACTGAATGAGTTATGTTTGCTCACCACAGGGCGTTCCTGGGGGCCAAGGATTTGTGCCCCTACGATGAAAACAAAGAGAAGTTTGGTAAAGCAAACAAGAGGAAAGGCTTTGCTGAGGGACTTTGGGAGATCGAGAACAACCCCACCGTCAAGCATGAAGCCAACGATGTAGGTCTATTTCTTCGAGTCTGTTTTATTGTACTGTGAGTAATCTGTCTATGTGTGATGTCCAACTTTGGTAATTTTAGAACACCTTAAACAAAAATGCTCATGTCTGTATAAACCTGGTGAAATCTGTTTCTGCAAAAATGGCATTCGACTCTTTACCCCCATTGAAGACTGTCAGAGAACTGCCCTTTTAATTTATTCAAGGCAACAGTCAGAATTAAGCGTGTGCTCTTTGTTGCTCCGACTCCCTTTTCTTACACTATTATTTAAATCTCTGCCTGTAGTCATCTAAGAAGGACAATGCTTCAGAAGGAGCAGGGGATGCTGGGAGCACGGAGAAAGCAGACGCAGAGGGCAGCAGCGATGAGGATGAAGGGGCTCTGGTAATCGACGAGAAGAACGAGAGGGGAGGGAACAAACGAAAAGCAGAGGAGTCCACAGAGGTGAGCTTTGAGACTGTCAGTCGTACATACTCCAAGTAGGAAGATTCGTAGTTATTTATCTCTCTTGACACTGCCTCATACCTTTTTTCATTAGGCTTCACCCAAGCGGCCGAAGGATACTGAGGCAGACGGTGACACGAAAGTCGACGGCAGCAAGTCTAAAGCAGAGGCCAAGCTCAACGATGTGGCCGGACCCAAGGCAAATGCCCCCTCCTCACAGAGCGAGTCGAAAGCAGAGGCCCAGGACAAGGCTCCCGCAGGAGAGAAGCTAACGGCAGACAAGGTGAGACAATACACAGGGATCAGGACAGAATGTGGCCATTGTGGTGTTTTTGCAGGTTTTAGGATAACACCATGGTATTAAAAATGATTAAAAGGCTTTACTGTCATTTTAAAAACAGCTAACACAGTTTTTAACAATGGAAAATGTTATTACAAGGCACCTTCAACAATACAACATACAATGTAGTTAAAGACATACAAATAAATACAATTTTAGAAGTGACAATTGTACAAGTAAAATGCAGTTATTGGTACAGAGTCACTATTTATATCAAGTGTATTACTTCATGTATTAATTGCTCTCCACTTCTCTCCCTGCAGCCTGTGACAGACAGCGCTTAACGTCAACTCTCAGAAGAAAAAACCCAAGAAACTTTGATGCTTTTCCCAGGAATTTAAACATCAACATGATTACCTGCAGGATGCCAGATTTCAGCTGTTTAATTGAAAGGATAATTAAAAAAAAAACTAAAAGTTTGTATTCAGAGACAAACAAATCTTCATCTGCCATTTTTGGGATATCATATATCCCAGAAACAAAACGTTTGCTAATCTGGTTTCAAACAATTGAACTGAGCACTTGAAGGCTCATTTATAAATGGGATTTTGGTGTGTATATATTTTTTATTTCTAAGTGCAATTACATAATTACAAAGACTGAATGCTAGGTGTCAAAAACATTTTCAGTTCAGAGGGAATACAAAACTGAATATATAAAAACATTTAAACCCAACAAAAATGAAAAATACTTATATCTGATGGTTTTAAAACACATTATTGTACAGGAATAAGAACAAATTTCCACCCAAGCTTTCATAAATTCAATGTTTTACTTACATCTATCTCACCTAGCTTATCAGCCTCTTCTTAAATAATATATTCAGTCATTGGATACATGATGAGTTGCACTTTGAAAATTAGGTTTTTTTTTTCAGCTGCCCTATTAATCATTGTCT